AAAAAAAAAAAAAAAAGGCTAATGACAGATATCCCTGAAACTAATATAATGTTATCTGTCAATTATATCTCAATTTCAAAAAGACAACCCATGATACATGTGCTTTTATCAGTTCTATATAAAGACGTGGAAAGCCAAGCTTACAGGATGATTTGCCTGAAGTCACAAGGTTTAATATTGGAACTCAAGCACTCTGGCATCAGAATCTGTTCACTGGACCACTGCACCACATGGCCTTGCTAGGGGTGGGGGAAGGATGTGGGGCTATGGGCTCTTATTCAGAGTTAGGACAATATTTCACAATGATGGATTTCATAAAATGACTTCAGCACCCTGATTAGAGAACTGATTGGAGAACAGGGGACCCCTCACATGGGCCGTGGTCTTTCCTTGATTCACTGGCGCAGGCCCTGGAGACAGAGCCTCCGTTGTCCTTTTTGCAGCCCCCTAAGAAAGGGTTTCTTCTCCCTCAGCTGTGCGTCTAAGGATGCTAACACCCTGGGCCCAGCCAGGGCGTGGGTGATCCCATGCAGAGTGAGAATTTGTACAGAATCCTCCGAAGAGGAAGAAAGCAGTGTGGTCACTCTCTGGCTCCTGCTGCTAAAGCAGACAGGACATTAGGCTCAAGATCCTAAGAACTCTTGCCCAGTAATAGACCTGGTTTCTGTGTTTGTGTGTGACCGTTGGGTGGGGAGAGGGGGGTGGATAGAGAAGCTGGAGTAATCACTTTCCAAAATGACCAGAGCAATTTGAAATGCTTTTCTTCGCCTCTTACTGAAGAGACTCATTCATGACATAACCCTCAAAACTGGAAATGGGGAGGGATAGTCCAAGTCCGGCCCCAGGAGTCTCAGCCACCGGCCTTCTCTCCCACAGCCCTAGGTGGGGGCAGAGAAAGAGAGCGAGGTGCTCGATGTGTCGCCAGATGCCTCCTTCACTCTGGCGTATCTTGACCTCAGGCCATAGGACGTGCCTCCCGATGACATTTGATTCTAGAAACAATGTGTGGCTTTGCCAAACCAGAACTAGCTGACAGCAAAGATGACCAGGGTTCCCAGAGGCAAAGTTCACAGGACACGGCCTAGGAGGGTTTTGATTTGCTTTCAATAGTTGGGATCCTCGCCAAACACCGCAGCCGAAATGGCCCTTCTTTGGGGAAGCCTTTCCACGATCTCCAGTCAAGCTGTGTTCCCTGTGATTTCTTCCCAGTAGTAGTTCTTACAATAGCTATGAAGTAGTTCCTAGCACAATTCTTTGTTTATTATCAGTCACTTCTCCCAGCCTGTCGGCTCCACAGAGGATACTGGGTGTCTGTGTCTGATTCATCGACATCCAGTAGAGTACTGGCACACTGTAGGCATTCAAGAAATACTTGTTGAAGGAGGAGCTCTGTAGAGAACATTACATCCAAAAAATGATACGAAAATGTTAGAAGTAGAAATGATCTTACGTGTTTACTTCAACCCTGGAAATTGAGGCCAGGCGTGTAAAAGCGATTCGTTCAAAGTCACCTAGCTGGGTAATAAGAGGGCTGGAACTACAGACCAAGACTGTCTGCTTCAATCTGCTCATCCAGGGGGTTTCCTTCCCTTCCCCGTGTCCCCGCACTGGTCTGTATCACATATTCCATTTTGGTACTTTTCACGGCATATTTCGCTCTCTGAAATCACCTTTGTCACTTATTTGTTTTCTTGGAGAGTATCCGCCAAGCCATACCCTAATGTAAGCCCCACTCAAGCGGGAACTTTGTCTTGTACATCCCTGTGTGTCCAGCACCTAAATCAGCGCCCACGTGCATTTAGTGAATTTGCTGAATGAGTTAGTGTTCGCAACTACTTCTATTTAATTGGAGGTACTACTGTGGATTTGTTTTCGAAGGCAGTGGAAAAGAGTTAACGCCTATAAAGTCCAAAATGTTTGCTTGGAAAAGGAAGGTACTGGATAGGTCAAACATTCCCACAATTGGCCAGCGGTAGAATTATCAGGAGAGTTGGTTAAAAAAAAAAAAAAAGAAAAAAGTTGGTAAAAATAGAGCTTCCTGGGATCCGCCCAGCCCCCTGCGAATCAGAACATCCAGGCTGAGTCAGGAAGCTGCTGGCTACTGACAGGGAGTGGACCCATTTGGAAAACCACTGGGTGATAGGATCCAGAGCCAAGTACATGTTCTTAGCTTTGACTTTATATCTGCACTTCTGGGAAATAATCCTAACCACAGAGGAGACGTCGTGTACAAAGATATTTATCTCACCTTGTTTAGAACATTGAAAATATGAAACAACGTAAATAACCCAAAGTAGGGGAAATGATTGGGGAACCCAACGTATAGCCACTTGATGGACATTAAAATTCACACTTTTTGGGGCGCCTGGGTGGCTCAGTCGGTTGAGCGTCCGACTTCGGCTCAGGTCATGATCTCGCGGTCTGTGAGTTCGAGCCCCGCGTCGGGCTCTGGGCTGACAGCTCGGAGCCTGGAGCCTGCTTCATATTCTGGGTCTCCCTCTCTCTCTCTCTGCCCTCTCCCCCTCATGCTGTTTCTCTCTGTCTCTCAAAAATAAATAAACACTAAAAAAACAATTTAAAAGAAATTCACACTTTTGACCATGTTTCTACATGAGAAGTATTTTTGCCTTGGCTATAGTATGAATGTTTGTGTGTGTTGCTTTCCAACCCCAGGGGTTTCCTGGGTGAAATTCGAAACTGGCTCCTGTACACAAAGGGCAGGGAGAGACCAAAGAAAGAGGCAGACCACTCCAGATTGATAGGTGGCAGGTTTCATATGCAAGGGAACTTACATATAAGACTTGGCTTGAGTGGCTACAAGATGAGTAGATCTCTGCCCCTTCCTGCCAGAATCCTAACATTTCATGTAGAAGCCAGAATGGGATTCAGTCTTGCACAGAGTTCAGATAGGCTCAATAACATATTACTATCAAGGCTGTGGCCTTGAAACAGCTCCTAGTGTGGGAATATGGTACAGGGAACGGGGTAAGAGGCCTCTGCTCAGATCCAGCTCGCGGGTCTACCTGTGGTCACCTCCTCTCCATGACTCATCCGAGAGTATCCCCGCTCCAGATTCATAGGTTGAAATCCTGACCCCAACGTGATAGTTATCAGGAGGTGGCGCCTTGGGGAGGTGCTTCGGTCATGAGGGGGGAGCCCTCATGAATGGGATTGGTGCTTTTATAGAAGAGGCCCCAGAGAGCTAGCTCTCCCCTTCGGCCATGTGAGGATACAATGAGAAGTCGGCAGTCCACGACCCAAAAGAGGGTTCACCGGAACCCAACTGTGCTGGTGCCCTGCTCTTGCACTTCCAGCCTTCAGAACTGTGGGCAATAAATTTCTACTGTTTAGAAACCGTCCTGTCTGTTGTGTTTTGTTATAGCAACCCGAGTAGACTGAGACAGCCTCCATGCAAGAATGCAAAATTGTTTGTTATGATAGTGGTTAAATGCACGACATATACTGGAAGCTGATCACACAGGTTCGAATTCCAGCTCCGACTAGGTGTGATTATGGGCAAGCTGCTAACCCTGTGTTATGGTTTCCTCATTTTGAAAGGGAGATAATAACTGCACACGTATTAGACCCTCAAGAAATATTATATATATGAGGGGGAGTACTAGATGAAATTTATTAAAATGCCCCAGCAAACTCTGCTGAGCTTCTTGGATATAGATGTTTTTTCTTTTCTCTTCTCCCTCTTCTGTGAGGTGGTTCTAGTATCTCTACAACTTATCGAACATAATGACAGTCAAATTTCCAATGCGATGCAAAAGCAAGCATTTTCACCGAGGGTTATGGGGAGCCATGGCAAGTTTTGGGGTAGAGGGTGGGGGTGGAAAGAAGGCAAATGCACCCAGGAATCTTTTCAAATGTAACATCTTTTCCAATATAAAATATGAGTTAATAAAGATCGGAGCAATTTCTTATACAACACCTATTTGCCCGGGCTTGTCCAGCTGCTCTGCGGCCAAGCTGCATTTAGAACCTGGGCTGTCTAACTCCAGAGCGCATGATCGCCACTATGAACCACACTGTTTCTTCAAAACGGAAGAATTTACAAAAAAAGAAGATGTATTCACATCTCCTGTTCTCTCTCCT